CTCCATTGTTTTAGCAAACCCACACTGGAACAGAAATTCCCCTCTGCATCACATGCCGCTTTCACTTTCTTTCATCATCGGATTTTGTGGCACCCTCTGCATTGCATGCCGCTTTCACTTTCTTTCATCATCGGGTTTTATGGTACCTTCTGCATAGACTTTGCAGACAGTATGCCTGGGGTATTTTGAATGTGGTTTTGAGCTGCAAAGTATGTTGAGAACAACAATGAGCCAGACAGCACCCTACAGGTTCATAGAAGAAGAAGAGGAAGAGGAGGAGGAGGAGGAGATTTGGATTTATACCCTGCCCTTCACTACCTAAAGGATTCTCAGAGCGGCTTACAAACTCCTTTCCCTTCCCCTCCTCATAACAGACACCCGGTGAGGTAGGTGGGGCTGAGAGAGCTCTGACAGAAACTGCTCTCTAAGGATGTGGTTTGGGGGAGGGGAGGGGCTTCAGCATGGAACAATGCCACAGAGTCCACCTTCCAAAGCAGCTGTTTTCTCCAAGAGAATCCCAGGAGTTCTCCGGTCACCACCTGGAGGTTGGCAACCATATCTCTGTAGCACAGAGCTCCGTTGCCATTCTGGTTGGTCTCCAGCCTCCACGTGGAGGTTAAGCAAACAGAGTATGGTACACAGTATATGGATATTACACTACACAGGGATTGTTACTGTGATAAGTGCGTTTTTGGGCAGGAACGCACAGGAACGGAGTTCCGGCTGGCTCCCAAGTTGGCCACGCCCAGCAGGAACTCATTAGCATAATAGGCCACACCCAACAGCAGAAACTCATTAGGACTGGCTACATTAGGGGTGTGGCCTAACATGCAAAGGGGTTTCTGCTCCAAAAAAAGGCCCTGGGTTTTGACAACAAACAAGGTAAACAGAATAAGAAGCAAAAGGTGGGTGTGGCTGGATGACCACACTTCTGATAACATGTGGGTGTGGCCTAATGTGCTAATGAGCTGTGCTGTCAGGGGTGTGGCCCAATATGCTAATGAGTTCCTGCTGTTGGGTGTGGCCTATTATGCTAATGAGTTCCTGCTGGGCTTTTTCTACAAAAAGAGCCCTGATTATGCTGTTTATAAACAAGTTCAAGTGATATGCTTTTCTTACAAGGTCGGAATGCAAAAATACAGTCAGTTTCAAATAAACAGAAGTGGTTTTTAACGAAGCAAACGATGTTAACGACGTGCTCCGGAACATCCTGTGTCGATTCGACGTTCCTTCTTCTTGTAAATGTTTGTTTGTAGATAGAATCTTGTTTGGAAGAAGATTTTTGTATTCCAACCTTGTAAGAAAAGCATAGCACCTTAACTTATTTAAACAGCACGTATTTTCTGATTTTTGCAGTACTGCATTATTTAGTTTCGCGCACTTATCACACTAACAATCCCTGTGTTGTGTAATATCCACCTGGAGGTTGGCAACCCAATCCTCGTGCCCCCTTGGACTGCCTCTGCCACTTGCGGGGGATGGGGGTGGCGACGGCGTTAGCTGTAGACAAAACAGGCCTACCTTGCAGCTGCGGCAACATTCCCCGTGGGCGCACTCGGCTCCTGCTTTCAGCGTGCAGTTCCGTGGGTTGCAACAGGGGTTCGTGCACTCCTGGAAAGACGGAGGAAGCCCACGGTCATCCCTCAGTTTCTCCACTCAAAGCACCAGCTCCCCTTGCTTGGCCCCCAATCCGGTGTTCCCTCTAAGCTGAGTTAGTGTGAGCCAGCTCACAGTTTTTTAGCCTCCGGCTCACACAGTTTTGTCTCCGCTCAGGAAGGAGAGCTCCAGAGCAGTGTTCCCTCTAAGCTGAGTGTGTGTGAGCTAGCTCACAGTTTTTTAGCCTCCGGCTCACACAGTTTTGTCTCCGCTCAGGAAGGAGAGCTCCAGAGCAGTGTTCCCTCTAAGCTGAGTGTGTGTGAGCTAGCTCACAGTTTTTTAGCCTCCGGCTCACACAGTTTTGTCTCCGCTCAGGAAGGAGAGCTCCAGAGCAGTGTTCCCTCTAAGCTGAGTGTGTGTGAGCTAGCTCACAGTTTTTTAGCCTCCGGCTCACACAGTTTTGTCTCCGCTCAGGAAGGAGAGCTCCAGAGCAGTGTTCCCTCTAAGCTGAGTGTGTGTGAGCTAGCTCACAGTTTTTTAGCCTCCGGCTCACACAGTTTTGTCTCCGCTCAGGAAGGAGAGCTCCAGAGCAGTGTTCCCTCTAAGCTGAGTGTGTGTGAGCTAGCTCACAGTTTTTTAGCCTCCGGCTCACACAGTTTTGTCTCCGCTCAGGAAGGAGAGCTCCAGAGCAGTGTTCCCTCTAAGCTGAGTGTGTGTGAGCTAGCTCACAGTTTTTTAGCCTCCGGCTCACACAGTTTTGTCTCCGCTCAGGAAGGAGAGCTCCAGAGCAGTGTTCCCTCTAAGCTGAGTGTGTGTGAGCTAGCTCACAGTTTTTTAGCCTCCGGCTCACACATTTTGTGTCCGCTCAGGAAGGGAGGGCTCCATGCCCAGTAGCTCACAAAGTAGAATTTTTGCTCACGAGACTCCACAGCTTAGGGGGAGCATTAATTACTTGCCGGCAGCACTGTGCCCAGGGACGCCAGAGAGAAAAGGCCTACTCGCTCCCTGCTTCTTCTTTTTTAACAAAATTGTAGCATTCAGCCTGAGGAAGAGTTCTGGACACCTCAAAAGCTTGCAGACGGCTCTGTGGCTATAACGCTATAACGGAACAGCAGTATATCAACGCCATTGGAATGCCTGGAGTGTTTTGTTATAGTGCTATAGTGCTATAAAGCAAACGTTAAAAAAAAGCCAGAGATCACCCCCACGCATGAAAAACGGCGGGGGAAAAGCGGGAAAAAGCAGTGCAGTTTGAAATGGCAAACCGCTTCAGATCCAGCTCTTTACCGGAAGGGGAAAGCCATGTGTGAAATGGCAGCCCTATACCGGTTTACTCCACAATGGATCAAAAATGGCTTCAACACGGGTTAAAAAGGGTAATGTGAAATTCCTCAATGTCTTCTGGCTCTCAAACATCTGACGTTTATTCTACGTGGCTCTTACGTTAAGCAGGTTCGGCCACCCCTGGTATAGACCAAAGCACACGTTTTTATTTCAAAAACATATAAAAACCTTGTAGGGGCCCAAATAAAGCCTCATAAAATGTTCAAAGTGATAAATGCACATAAAAGAGCAAAATATACGATCCGACACGTTTCGGCCCACAAGAGCCTTCTTCGGAGGCCAAAGAGTACAGAATACGACATGCAACAAAGTGTAAGGCAGTAAACGATTGATATAGGACCAAAAATGGAATGACACACCAAAAAAAAGGCCACAAATGTATCTAGCCTTGTGTCAAAAGCAATTGCATATATTGGAGATAGTAATAGTACCAATATGTGCTTTCCAGTTTAGGCCCTAAGAGTACGAGTAAAATCGCCTTATCAGGGCCAACGTGACACCACTATGTAACAGAAGCGAAACGGCAGGAACGTCCAGCTTTACCATAGAGTTTCTGGCGATTCCTAGAGCTACCCTTTCCCACTTCTGGGTAGCTCTAGGAATTGCCAGCAACTCCACGGTAAGAACTTCCTGTCAGCAGACACAGCCTTGTTTTTTCTTTGTTCTCCCAGGATGCTGCCTCCCCCCACAACTCTCCGGTCGGTTGCCCGGCAACCCCGGGTCCTACCTCCATCTCCCCACAGTCGCACTCCTCCCCGTCTTCCAGGAATCCGTTGCCGCATTTCTTGCCCACCACCAAGTCGTTGGTGTCGGGCATGTTGAACAAGCAGATGCCGCCGCCCTTCAGGAAGTAGCTCTCCAGCTGCCGCCGGCTGCAGGAGCTGAACACTTTGGCAAAGGGGTGCCTGGAGGGAGACAAACCACGGGGGGGCCCTTCTGAGATCTGACTCAGCAAGCCCCCGAGCAAGAGAGGCTGTCAGGCAGGAATCCCCAACGTGGGGCCCGGTAGGGTTGCCAAGTCAGAAACTTACCGGAGCGGGGGACTCCCGGCCGTCGCCGCATCCACGTCACCCAGAAGTGACGCGGGTACGCCGGGCACGCTGGGGGCGGGGCCAGGACCATCCGAGGGAAAATAATAGAGTTTTCCCTCGGATGGTCCTGGCCCCGCCCCCAGCATGCCCGGCGTACCCGCGTCACTTCCGGGTGACGTGCACGTGGGGGTGGAGTTCCCCCCGGGGCCCGATCCGCCGGCGGAGGGGAACGGGCCTCTGGGGCGGTGGTTTCCCCGACCCCCGGGGGGACTTGGCAAGCCTAGGGCCCGGTACCTGCCACGGGTTTTTAGAAAGTGGGTGGAGCCAAGTGGGGCTGATCGGCCGCTGGTGAGCTGATGGGCTGTGCCTATCTTAATTAAAATGTTGCTTTGGCAGAAACTGCCACCCCGGCACGAGGATCTTCGCTATGCGAGAGGTGGTCTCTCAAGCAATGTTCCTTCTAAGTTGAGTCGGTGTGAGCTAGCTCACAGTTTTTTAGCCTCCAGCTCACACATTTTTGTCTCGGCTCAGGAAGGAGGGCTCCAGAGCAAACTAATTCATGCAGCAGCGAAATCGCTCACTCACAACTTTAATGCCCAGAGCTCACAAAGTAGAATTTTTGCTCACAAGACACCACAGCTTAGAGGGAGCATTGGCCAGAGGTGGTCTCAAGCAGTGTTCCCACTAAGCCGAGTTAGTGTGAGCTAGCTCACAGTTCTTTAGCCTCAGGCTCACACATTTTTGCCTATGCTCGGGAAGGAGGGCTCCAGAGCAAACAAATCGCTCACTCACAACTTTGATGCCGGCAGCTCACAAAGTAGATTTTTTGCTCACAAGACTCCACAGCTTAGAGGGAGCATTGTGTATGACCAAAGGTAATCTGTAGAAGGCATTTTTACCATAGAGCTTTTGGACAGGAAGTGATGTTATGACGCCGGGCCCGCTGGGGGCGGGGCCACGACCATACACGGGAAAAGGGCCTTGTACGGCCGTGGCCCCGCCCCCGGTGTTCCCGGCGTGCACGCATCACTTCGAGGTGACGGCACGTCGGGGAGGAGTTCCCCCTGGGGCCCGATCCGGTGGCGCTTGAGAACGGGCCTCTGGGGCGGGGGTTTCCCCACCCCCCGGGGGGACTTGGGATCCCTATATGGAGTAATAGCAACCAACCAGGAATGAATGAGGATTTATATGAAAACCTCCATGCTTTGTTTATATAAAGAGTTTATTTTAAATGCTAAAGTGCATTGGTTGCATTGCCTCTCTTATGTCTGCGTTTAAGTATACGTGTAGTTGCAGGAGTTACACAATTCGTAATAACCATAGGTGGGAGTTCCACTGTCAAAACCGACTGAACCTGCCCACTCTCCCTGCAGATATTAGGACCTTAGTGGGTTACATCTGGACGTCGGTCTTCTTGGACGAGTCTGCTCAGTCCCCTCTAAAATGCCGTTCCCCCCTCAACAATGACTGTTCTGTGCATAACTGATGTCAGCAGTCCAGACTTTGCCCCGGAGCCGCCCCAGGCCTCCTGCCGTATCCACACAAAACCTTTCCCTGCCCCACACTTCCTTTGCTGGGAGAAAAAAGACTCCACTGTTCCCGCCGACCCATAAATGCATCCAACAGATGCAAACCATTTCTCGGCGCGCGGCCTCCCTCCAAGGGGCAAGCTGCGAATCAGCCGCTACGGGTTCCGGCCTGGTTTTTTCCCAGCCTCCTTCCTCTGTGCCTTCCTTTGAACTCCTTTTGTCCGGCTACCGTATGTCTGTCTCCGTCTCGCTTTACTCCCGGCCTTAAGGAAAGCTGGTTCCAATTTAAAGCGGCCAGTGTGTTCCCAAAGGGCCCTGCCGTACACGCCCTGCATAGCCAGCTTCAGTGAGGATGGGGGGGGGGAGACTCCTCACCTCCCAACCCTCAAGAAGATGCCTTGAAAGCCGCCTGGTACCACCAGGAACCAGTCGGAAAACAAAGAAGTTAGTTTGGTGTAGCCCTTCTCAAAAGCAAAACTCAGCAAATCTTGTTTCCTTCTGCAATACAAGCAGGGGTCATTTCGTAGACAAAGAGGTGCCGGAGCTCATTAGCATAACTCATTGGCATATGCCACACCCCCTGACATCACCGGAAGTGTTTCAGAAGGCAACACCCACTGCTCAGGCTCCACTGGACTGTTTTGGATTGCTACCCTATTTCCCCGAAAATAAGACCAAGGTTTATTCAGGTACAAGCTCTCCCTCCTCTGCCAGGACAGATTTGCACATTCTCCCCCCCCCCCCAATAGCTAGCAATCCAAAACAGTCCAGTGGAGCCTGAGCGGTGGGTGTTGCCTTCTGACATACTTCCGGTGATGTCAGGGGTGTGTGGCATATGCAAATAAGTTATGCTAATGAGTTATGCTAATGAGCTCCTGTACCTCTTTTTCTATGAAATGACCCCTGTGTGAGACCTTTGGTCCATCAACGCCAGTATTGTCTACTCAGACTGGCAGCCGCTCTCCGGGGTCTCAGGTTGAGGTCTTTCCCATCACCTCCTGCCTGGTCCTTTCAACTGGAGGTGCTGGGGATTGAACCGGGGACTTTCTGCATGCTGAGCAGATGCTCTACCACTGAGCTGCGGCCCCTCCCTAAACACCCATGAAGCTGCCTCCTACTGAAACATCTTGATCCATCACAGTCAGAACTATCTACTCAGACTAGCAGCAGCTCTCCGGGTTCTCAGGTGGAGGTCGTTCATATCACCTTTCGCCTGAGCCTCTTGTTGTGAGGATAGGGTTTCCAAACTTGTTCCATCAAGGTCCGTGTTGTCTACTCTGACTGGCGGCCAGGGTCTCAGGCTGAGGTCTTTCCCATCACCTATAGTCTGGTCCCTTCAACTGGAGAGGCTGGGGATTGGACCGGGGACCTTCTGCATGCCGAGCAGATGCTCTTCCACTGAGCCATGGCCCCTCTTTACAGCTCTCCAGGGTCTCGGGCAGAGGTCTTTCCCATCATTTCCTGCCTGGCCCTTTTTTAACCGGAGAGGCCGGTGATTGAACCTGGGACCTTCTGCATGCCAAGCAGAGGCTCTTCCACTGAGCCACGGCCCCTCTTTACAGCTCTCCAGGGTCTCGGGCAGAGGTCTTTCCCATCATTTCCTGCCTGGCCCTTTTTTAACCGGAGAGGCCGGTGATTGAACCTGGGACCTTCTGCATGCCAAGCAGATGCTCTACCACTGAGCCATGGCCCCTCTTTACAACTCTCCAGGGTCTCAGGCAGAGTCTTTCCCATCACCTCCTGCCTGGTCCTTTCTAACTGGAGATGCCGGGGATTGAACCTGGGACCTTCTGCACACCAAGCAGAGGCTCTTCCCCTGAGCCACATCCTCTCTTTACAGCTCTCCGGGGTCTCAGGCTGAGGTCTTTCCCATCACCTATCGTCTGGTCCCTTCAACTGGAGAGGCTGGGGATTGGACCGGGGACCTTCTGCATGCCGAGCAGATGCTCTTCCACTGAGCCATGGCCCCTCTTTACAGCTCTCCAGGGTCTCAGGCAGAGGTCTTTCCCATCACCTCCTGCCTGGCCCTTTTTAACTGGAGAGGCCGGTGATTGAAACTGGGACCTTCTGCATGCCAAGCAGAGGCTCTTCGCCTAAGCCACATCCTCTCTTTACAGCTCTCCGGGGTCTCAGGCAGAGGTCTTTCCCATCATTTCCTGCCTAGCCCTTTTTTAACTGGAGAGGCTGGGGATTGAACCGGGGACCTTCTGCATGCCGAGCAGAGGCTCTTCCACTGAGCCACGGCCCCCACTTTGCAAGATCTGAGTTAACGAGAGGTTGACAGCGCTTCACACACAAACAACCCTGTGAAATCAAATGCAGGTGAGATAACGTTGGCTCCCAGTCGGATGCCCCGCCTTACCCCGTTGCGGCAGCCATGACACACCCTCCCTCGGACGCTGTGGCCTCCACGCAGCAGCCTTCAGTGTCGTGGCTCATACCAAAGTTGTGGCCGATTTCGTGGGCCATGGTGGCTGCAGCCCCGAGTGGCAGATCTGAGTGGTCCTGGAACGGAGGACGGGAGATTGAATGCGTTGCATCGAACTGCGATGAGAGAACGGGGTCCCCCCCCCAAAAAAAGCCTTCCCGGGACTAATACGTTGTCGAAGGCTTTCGCAGCCGGAGTTCATTAGCGGTTGTCAGGGCTCTTTTTGTAGAAAAAGCCCAGCAGGAACTCATTAGCATAATAGGCCACACCCAACAGCAGGAACTCATTAGCATATTGGGCCACACCCCTGACAGCACAGCTCATTAGCATATTAGGCCGCACCCCCACGTTACCAGAAGTGTGCTCATCCAGCCACACCCACCTTTTGCTTGTTATTCTGTTTACCTTGTTTGTAGTCCAAACCCAGGGCCTTTTTTTGTAGCAGGAACTCCTTTGCATGTTAGGCCACACACCCCTAATGTAGCCAGTCCTAATGAGTTCCTGCTGTTGGGTGTGGCCTATTATGCAGCAGTTCCTGCTGGGCGTGGCCAACCTGGGAGCCAGCCGGAACTCCGTTCCTGTGTGTTCCTGCCCAAAAATAGCCCTGGGCCTAACTGTTGTCCATGTTTGATTGCAATTAAACACAAGATCTTCCTCCTCATTTCGACTTCAATCTCCTATTTTTGACTGGATATTAATTTGTAGAACAGATACACCCCCAAGATCGCATTCGCTCCGGTCAGCTTTCTACTTACCATGCTCACGCCACCAGAGTTCTCTGCACTACACATTCCCTCCAGCGGGGCCATGCCGATCGTGGTTCCCCTGAAGGTCACGCCACTGTGGGGTCAGGCAGAGGAGATCCAAGAGAGAGGAAAAAGGTATTAGGGCCCCCAGCAGTGTTGAGAGAGGACAGCATGCTTATCAGAACCAAGCAAATGGGGGGGGTGCTAAATGGAATTCAGCTTGCGGAACTCACTGCCACTAGACGCTGAATACTCCTTATTTGCACAGAGAGTGATGAAAATGTGGAATTCGCTGCCAGCGGATGTAGTGGTGGCCACAGGGATAGGCAGCTTTAAAAGGGGATTAGATAGACTCATGGAGGAGAGGTCTGTCAGTGGCAATTAGCCATGGGGACTGAGGGGAACCTCCACTTTCAGAGGCAGTCAACCTTGGAATCCCAGTGCCAAGAGGTAACATCAGGGGAAGGCCTCGGCCTCTGTCCTCTCTTTCTTTGGCCCTCCAGAGGAACTAGTTGGCCTCTGTGTGGACTAGATCCAGCAGGGTTCTTCTGTTCTTCACACATGAAGCTGCCCTATACTACACCAGTTCGCACCTTACAGCAGACACACTTACAATTCAGTGTTCCCTCTAAGCTGAGTTAGTGTGAGCTAGCTCACAGTTTTTTAGCCTCTGGCTCACACATTTTTGCCTTCGCTTAGGAAGGAGGGCTCCAGAACAAACTGATTTATGCAGCAGCCAAATCCCTCGCTCACCACTTTAATACCAGCAGCTCGCAAAGTAGAATTTTTGCTCACAAGACTCCCCAGCTTAGAGGGAGCATTGGTCATGATCCATGTACTCTGTTCACTTGTTCTTTTCTTTACACATGCGCTGAGTAGAGGCATTCTTACGCTGGACTAATCGCTAGACTATGATGACGAGTTTTTGTCACTTTCTCAGCTGAGGCCTAGATATGATTTGTCAGCCTCTGCTAAATAGCAACATTTGCCACTGCTGCAGCCCATTTATATATCTAACTAGCAGTAAAGCCCGTTGTGAAAGCAATACAACGGGATCTAGAAAGAGGCTCTGGGGCAGTGCTCTGGCTTTGGACAAACAGTGTCAATTTGCTGTGGTGACCTCAGCAGGGTATAATGACAGAGTCCACTGTTTTCTCCAGAGGAACTGATCTCTGCTACCTGAAGAGCAGTTGTAATTGTGAGTGATCTGTAGCCCTCACCTGGAGATTGGCAACAATTGTTACCCAGGACAAAATGGCTGGTTTGGAGGGTGGAGTCTATGGCATTCTACCTGTCTGAGGTCCCACCCCTCTGCAAACCCCACCCTCTCCAGGCTCCACCCCTCAAATCCCCAGGAATTTGTCAGCATGTAGTTGGCAACCCCATCTCCTTCCCAGCTAGCCACCAACCTACCATTATCTGCCCCTTTGACTTCAGCTGACTTCCGCCCTCCCTTCTGCAGAGCAGTTGTAATACTGAGTGCTCTCCAGCCCTCACCTGGAGATTGGCAACAATGGTTCCCTATGTGAGACTGACTGGTTTGGAGGGTGGAGTCTATGGCAGTGTACCTGTCTGAGGTCCCACCCCTCCTCAAACCTCACCCTCTTCAGGCTCCATCCCTCAAGTCTCCAGGAATTTCCCATCTGGAGTTGGCAACCCTATCAGGATTGGCCCCAATGTGTTTTCTCCCAAAGGCCAAAGTAGGTGACAGGACCAAGCTTAGTTGCCTACCAACAGGCACTGAGGGGAATGTAGGGTTGCCAGCTCTAAGGAGGGAAATACCTGGAGGTTTGGGGGGTGGATTCTGTAGAGGGCCGGGCGACGGAGGCATCGGCCTTCTGTCGCCCGCCTTGCCCCCCCAATCTCGGCCCGGGCACCCGCGGCTCCCACCAGCGGCCGCCCGACTCCAGACTCCCCCGCGGCCACTCCAGCCAGGCGACGGAGGCATCGGC